GAACAGTGTCAGTGACCACAAATACCCAGTCACAGACACATATAGGGTACCAAGAATTATCCAAGACAACAGTTGTTTAACCATGAGGTCATCTAGAAAGTTTTATATAAACTGTTAGAAAATAAGAGTATGGAAGAGGCAGAGAGAAGGCACAAACACCAGTGCAGGCAGGGTTTATTGTTCAGGCAGGAGCCCTGTGGAGGGTGACCCCAGCAAGAGAGCTAGATTCCATTGCCTTACACAGGCTTGGGCTAGATATAGGGGGCTAGTGGAAAAGTACCAGGAAGGTCACTAAGGGAGATTGTTGCTGGGCAACCAAGAAAGAGAAGTTGTAGTTAGGTCACTGTCTGCACAACTGTCCCTGGCATCTATCCAGGATGATAAAGGTGAGCCATCTGCAAGGGGGAGGAGGTCTAGTCCTAACATGGCTGTCCTCATTGTTAACCCCAACATAAACCAATTCCTAAATGAACATGACTCAGTTACCTTAATAGTTAAAACCCCAACAAAAATCACCAGAGAACACAGGTAAATATTTATGGGGACTAAATGTGGAGTTAGGAAACACAGTGGCCAAGAATCATGGCTCAGATGTTGAAAAGGGATCACATCCCAGATTGTTGACATTAACATGTGGCTCATGACACACAGCAGAATCCCACCAACCTGTAGTCAGTGGAGCCCCCCTAAAATAACAGGCCCAATCTGACCATCCCAGGCCAAAAATTCCCTCCATCCAACATGTGGAAGGAGTAGGACCAATAAAAACTGGAGGTCTTGACTTCTAGTGTAGTGTTTTGTTTTTTTTTTTTAATCCTATCTGGAGGGTACACTTGGGCTTTATGTAAGTAAATTTGTTTTAACTCTTACATCAGTGCAGCAGTATTCCCTGTGCTCAGCTGCCTCTTGTTTTTCTGTGTTTTAATAAACTTTTGTTGTCTTGCCAAATTTGTAGATTAACCTGTTGCACCAAAAATTCCCTGACAGTTATCTTGACAAAACAAAAACCATTTTAAGACAATTTTTTTTAAATGTTATCAAGAACAATGTAATATTTTAAAGACAGCCTTGTTGTTATGAGCTTAGAGGATTAAATTTTTAGTTTAACATCAGTACATTAAATTTTGACCTTATAAAACCTTTAATGTAACTCTTAGATTTTAGTTAACTTAATCACTTACATAAGCATCCATAAGCTCCGTCTTTTATGACAACTTACTCTGTATCTTTATGACAACTTTTGTATCCCCTGGGGGAGCTTGTCTTTACCACCCCACTTTTTTTTTAATCCAAAGGTATTTTTTATCCTTTTATTTTTTAAAATCATATCTTCAATATCATGTTACTTGTTGAAATTAACTTATAAAACCTTTTAACTTAGAACCTTATATTTGTATGGGAAAAAAATAACAAAGCAAACTTAAAATTTTTTTTTGTATAAAAACAATTTATAGAAAGCCCATTTGTTAATAGACCCCTGTATTATAAGAGATAATTAAATTCCAGATTGTAATTATGGCAGAATGAAACATGTGAAAGTCATTTCTTTACCCAAATTCCAAGATTTTTGTTGCAGGCTGTGACCCTTCCCCTCCCAAGCCAGAGTGTTAACCCCTGAATGCCTGCATCTTAGTGAGACCTGACTGAAATAAATTTGAAAACCTGTTTTCTTAAAAGTAGCAGTAGAACAGAGTAATAATTTTTACATTGACTCTATAATAAGAACCGTTCTCAAGATGTTTACATATTTATGTGTAAAAAGCCTAAGCAGTTTATAACAGAGGTCTTTAAAATAAATACCCTTTTGTTACCTTGAGTATCAGCATTTTAAGAACCATTTTGAAGATGTTTACACACACACACAAACACACACACGCTGTGCGCATGCAATGATATGGATGCATAATCTGACCAGCCATTAGCAAGGGAAACATAAGCATCTCATGACTGTCTCAATATCAGACCAAGCTTACTGCACCAACCTATTGGAACAGTTTGTTGTTTTTTTTTTTTTAATCAGCAACAGTCAAAGTTGCTCTTTTTCTTTTTACCTTTTTAGGTAGGTTCTCCCTGTTTATGCTCCTTAGAAGTAAAGATGCCAGCAAGTTCAGTATTTCTGGCATATTTTAATAATCCTAAATTGTTTTTTATTTACTTTTTATTTTTAAGACATAAAAACTCCACTGAAGGAGTGTATTAAGCCTTTTATCCTTTTCTGTCTCTAAACATTTTATGACATTTTATTTTTTTCTTTTTCTTTCCCCCTTTTTTTCTCTCTCCTTTCTCTCTTTCTCTCTCTCTCCTCACTTCACCCCTGAAGACCTCATCCCAACTTTGTTTCCATTTCTCCATTTCCCTCTCTCTACATTCACAACCCTTTTGCAACATTCCTTTTCTTTCAAGTCAGACCAGATCTTAAGTATCAGTGTAAGTCCATCCTTTATGTGTTAATTTTTGAAAGAGCTCAGTTAGTGCTGAGCCTCAGTCCTCCTTCAGGATGCCCATTTTGGGTGAAGATGTGCAAACTGGGGCACCATAGCTATGTATCAAGACTGAAAGAATGGTTTCTCCTCAGTCTGCCCAGTAAATTGCCACCTGAACTTAAATAAACAAAGTCTGGTTTTTGAAGACCAATTTTAGCCTCTTGGCTTTTCCCATTCTCCTGGGTGTTAGGTTTTGGTTTGGGTTTCTTTTCTTTTTTTCTTTTCACAATTACTCTGTAAACTTCATTAATCACAGTTTTATTTAGTAACCCTTCTGGAAGCCATCCTACCAAAAGCAGGCCAATTTACTTTACAAAGGACATTTAGCTTGTTATGAGTTAACAACTCTGTAGTCTCCATTAAATTCCTTTTTAAAGTTATTAATCATACACTCCAAGGGAGTGTTTTTACTCTTGATTTCTACATATCTCCTCCCGTTTCCAGACGGGAAGACAGACACAGAGCGCGAGGGAATTCCTCACTTGCTTCGCAGCTTGCGTCTCATCTCGCATTTTCATATACTCTCATACAGCACCATACTTCCATACATCTCCTGAACCTGAGAGACATGGTTTCACCCCCAGAATGGCAGTTACTAGGATGTCCCATTAGGAGGTGATCAAGCTCCCCTTCTGCCTCCTGGGGCAGTTCTGAATTTGAACCTGGGTTCTTAACCAGTCTGATGAGCAATGCTCTCCTTCCCTCACTGGTTCCTGCACCTCACTGGTTCCGTTGTGCATGGGTGGCCCTCACCCCAACTCACAGGGAGGATGAATCCCCTCTGGATCAAGCTAGCCATTGGTGCCTGGTGGGATCTCCTTCTGGTGGTTTGGGGGGATGCACCCCGGTGACAAGGGAGGTGATAACTTACCATCTCCACAATCCTGGATAACAATCCCCCAAGAAATGTTGCAGGAGTTTACTAGCTGAGATACGGGACTCTTGAGGCAGTTAGCAGGAAGCAACATTTTATTGTGCCGCACAGACTCAGCAAACTCATGTCCAAAGACTGAGTCCCAAGAACAAAGGGGTCTCACCTTATATACCCTTGCAAGCAGGTTACAGAAGAAAAAAGCAAGGTCTCATCCATATATGGATTTATTTAATTTTATTGGCTACTTTACCCTAGTGCTATGTGACTTTCCCTTCCATGGTACAATGTGACCTTCCTCATGTTCAGATTTCTCAGGTTTTCTCTCTGCTATGCCATCCCTACCTCTCTGCTACTTTCTCAGGACTCAGGCCTAGACTGTTTTCTTCTGATCCTCCTCCCTGCTACACCATAGCCTCTGAGGAATGACTTTAGAGGAGTCACATAACACTCAGTAGAAGATAATTTAAGTTCTGGTATGTGATGTAGAACCATCACAGAGTTTCCATGTCATCTTTGCCTGAGTTCACATCTGCTCTATTAACTAGTTAGTTGGTGATCTAAGGCAAGTTATTTAACTACTTTAGTTACTGCTACTAGTTACTGCAGTTATTTAACTACATTTTGTCACATGTAATATGGACAATTTATCCACTCACAGGGAATTTTAGGGCTGTTCTTTAATAATAATATCTTGATATAAGGCTGAACAAAATTGTTTATTATGTTTTTAGATTTAAAAAAGTGAAGTTTTATAGCTAAACTTTCTACATTATACTACCTTAGTTTGGCTTCCAGAAGCTCAGGAAAATTTCTCAGTTGTTAACAGAATACATAGTGAAAGCCTGTAGTAAAATTATTTATGAAAATATATAATAACTATACTAAAATAAAAAAATCTTCTTTTAGATCAATTCATGATTGAAGGTCCTTCTTTGTATAAAGAATTGTCTCATTTCCTTACTTGGTGTTTTTCCCATTCTTACCAAGGGTTGGGGGGAAGACCGTTTGAAGCTATTTACTTTTTTCCTACCAAGTAATAAAATAAGTCAGATTAACTGAAAAAGAAATCTACCTGCTAGTGGATTCCAGAATTATTTCTTTTTTTCACATATAAACAAAAACCACTGTAGAATGTGGTGAGTACTTGTTCTGCAGACTTAATCCATATTTGGGCCATTATTACACAGTGTTTTTTTTTTTTCTGGTGTGGGAGCTCTTTTTTCTTTTTTTAAGTTCTTTGAGCTGAGTGCAATGGTGCATGCTGCAATCCCAGATACTTGGGAGCCAGAGCCAGGATCATGGTTTAAGGCCAGCCCCAGCAAAAGTTAGTGAGACCCTATCTCAAAAATAAACCAGGCATGGTAGTTCATACTTGTGATCCCAGTTACTCAAGAGGCAGGGGCAGGAGGATCACAGTTTGAAGCCAGCCCAGGGAAGGTTATTACAAGACCCTGTTTGAAAAACAAGCTACAAGCAAAGAAGACTGGGAGCATGGCTCTAGTGCATGAGGCTCTGAGTTCAATCCCCAGCATTGCAATTGGAAAGTAGCATGACACTAGGAAGTGTTTATCATGCATATGTATATTTGTTTATTTCTCTAGTAAATGTGTGTCATATATGTGTATTTTTGTTTATTTCTCTAGGGTGGCTTATCTACAGTCAAAAAATTTCAGTAAGGCAGATATTACACAGATGGTCAGAAATGCACCATTTTTGCTGAATTTTTCAGTGGAAAGACTGGATAACAGACTGGGATTTTTTCAGAAAGAACTTGAACTTAGTGTGAAGAAGGTAATAAGTGGAGAGAAATCATACATTTTTACGTCCAATACTTTTACTAACTTAATTCTCAAGTTTCTAATAAATGTGCGGCCCAAGTGAATCCTTTAAGTCCCTGATACTTTTCATACAAAAACAAGTTTCCCTGCAATGTTAAACAAAAACTACATCATTTTAGCCTCAGATTGCTTCATTAAGATCCAGTATTTTTTTCCTCAAAGAGTGTTAAGTTTATATATTTCTGAGGTTCCTGTCATTTCTCTGATGAAGTCATATTTTACATTTTAGCTTTGTATTGCCTTAATTTTTCAAACTAGTTAAATGTGCATACGTAGTGATAATAGATTGTCTTGTTTATAACTTAGACTAGAGATCTGGTTGTTCGCCTCCCGAGGCTGCTAACTGGAAGTTTAGAGCCTGTGAAAGAAAATATGAAGGTAAGACAATGAGATTTTCAGATGCCACTTTCTTTGTTTGAGCCCTTTGGAGAGAATGAATGTCCCAGTTGTCATCTTAAAGAAAGATGGATTTTAAAAGAAGTCATATCTAAAGTGGTAGAGTGCTTGCTAGAATCCTGATTTCAGTCCCCAGTTCCCTAATCCCCAAAAAGTGATTTAGATAGACAGAAGTAGGAAAATTATATAACAGATATCTAGTAAGGAGTTTGTAGCAGTTAAAAGTTTGTCCCATGGTGGCCGGGTTTCTATCACCTGAGTACATTGGTACCCATAATCCTAAAGTAATGGAGAGGTATTTGATGGTATCTGGAAAGTGCTTTTGTTGCCTGGCCAAACAGGCTATGGTCTGTGTCTCCTAGCTTGTGTTCCTAGTTTGTGAAATTGCTTTGTTTTTCTATCATGAGAATCTGTTTATATGTCTTGGGGAGTTTGAGAGGCTAAATCTAAAATAATTTTTTTTTTCAGTGCTAGGGATTAAGCTCAAGACCTTGTGTATGCTAGGCAAGTGTACCACTGAGCTTCATTCCCAGCCCAATTCAGAGGACTTCTGTGAGGAGAGTAGTAGCTAGCACATTGCTCTCCATTGTATCTGTGCCAATTACTAGCTCTCGGTGTGTCGCACAGTATACCAGACACTAATCCTTCCTCCACCATGGGAATAGTATGAAGCTAACAGCAACCAACTAGTTAATATACAAAGCTGCAGTAGTCCTGGAAATTACTGTGTAATGCCTATTCTTTGAAGTGCTGAAGTGTTTCATGCTCCGTATTTGTTGTTGACCACCTGCCAAGCACCGTGCTTGAGAGGGATTCCCTGTTCTCATGGTGCTTAGAATCTAGGGGGAGGATAAAGTGCAGTGGCTTGCCAGGGGAGCACTGGACACTGGACATAGAAGACCGACCCCCCAGTTTGAGTGTTTAGTTTTGTTATCTGTGTCTGGAATCTAGACATGTAGTTTTTCAGTAACATATATGTAGGTGTGCTTGGGAGCAAAAATTCAAAAAGCACTTTGAAAACCTTAATGCAGGTCTGCTAGTGTCTGGCCCATACAGACAAATGCCCTGGTTCCCTCACGTACCATGATTACATCTCATGGTCATGCCACTCCTTCTGGAGTCCTTCATGATGGTCACCATGCTGTGAGCTTATTCTTAGGGGAGGGATTTGAAATTCAGGTGACACCCAGAAACAGGAGGCCACAATCCCTTGTGGACATTAAATAGTTACCCCCAGATTTTAAAATGTCATTGTTTTAAATTATAAAAGAATCAAAGTATCCTCTGGCAGTAGTACCAAAATAACTGTTTCTACTCCTTACTCATAAAAAATGTACTTTCTTGTAGGTTTATCGTCTTGAACTTGGTTTCAAATGTAACGAAATTCAACATATGATCACTAAAATCCCGAAGATACTAACTGCAAATAAAAGGAAACTTACTGAGACTTTCGATTATGTGCACAATGTGATGAGCGTCCCCCACCACATCATTGTCAAGTTCCCACAGGTAATGCACTCAAAGCTGTTTCTGGGAGCTGCCCTAGCCCTGCTTTTGGGGCTGCCATCTAGGCACTCAGTGCAGTGCTCTTGTGGGAAGATCACAGCTGCAGGGCACAATGCTACATCTCCTAAGGAGATTCAGTGCTTTGTCTGTGTTCCTATAGTTTCTGCCTACTCCTAGTTCTGCCCATGGTAATCAGGCAGGAGAGTCTAGTGCAGTCTCTCCTGTGGTTGTCTGCATTTAAATTCAAAAAGGATCACTTTTAAAGGTCTTTTCAATAGTAGATATACTTTCATTCATAGTCTAAATCCATGGATTAATAAGCCATATTGTAATGATCTCCTACCAAAGCATAAAACAGTTCCAGTTTGCCATCATGCCAAAGCTGTCATTTCATTTCCTAAGGTAATCAAACTTTCATAGTCTTTACCTCATTATTTCCTGGTATTATCTGCTGTTCACAAGAACATTGACTGTGTGAACACAATTTGTTTTCCCCTGGGTTGGTGGATTATTAAGTGACTGATCATGATGAGAGAATCTGACATTGCCCCCTCCATACTGTAGTGGTCCAGTCCTTCTTGGAATATGTAATAGGGCATCCACCCTGGGTGAGAGATACAGAAATCAACCAGACATGGGCTATATTCTTGAAGAACTTGGAATCCATTGTGATAGACAGCGTTTTAAAAATATGATTGTTTACATCATAGTATAGTCTTAGCCAGAGGACTTAAGAGAACAATGATTCAGTGTAGAAGAGGTAGAAAAATCATAGAAATAACAGTAGCTATTGAGTGCTTACTGTGTACCAGCTCTGTCTCTACTGCTCTGCTTGTATTAACGCATTACAATAATTCTTACAGTAGCCACACGGGGTACTATTAGTACCCTGTTTTACAAATGAAGAAAGTAAATATAAAGTGATTAACCCATCCGAGGCTACCGAGTAACAAGAGGGCAGAACCCTGGCAGCTGAGTTTAAAAACCTGTGTTCTTTACCAGATATACTGCCACTGTCCTGTTTGAACACAGGACTTGGTGCTTGCTAGGGAGGAGCTCTATGGCTTGAGCCACACCTCCAGCCCTTTTTGCTCTGGTTATTTTGGAGATAAACTGCTTGCTATCCTCCTGTTTTATGGTTCCAGCTGTCACTGGGATGACAAACGCATCCCACAACACCCAGCTTTTCAGACTTTTTTCCCATTGAGATGAGTTCTTTCAAACATTTTTGCCCAACCTGCCCTGGAACTGTGATCCTCCAAATGTCAGCCTTCTGCACAGCTTGGTATGACAGTACCCAGCTATTGGTTGAGATGGGAGGGTTGCACAGACTTTCTGGCCTGGCTGGCCTTGAACCCCAATCCACCTGATCTCAGATCTCAGCCTCTCAAGTAGCTAGGATTACAAGTGTGAGCCACTGGTGCCTGTGCTCCCAATTTTTAAAGAAGAAACAACTCAATCCAACCTGTAGCTTTTGGATTTGAAGAAGTACACAATTCTCTAATGATAAAGTAACATGAAGGGCTAGGCATGGTGGCATAGCAAGTTCTAGGCTCACCTAGTCTACATAGCAAGACCCTATCTCAAAAATAAATTGAAACAATAAAGTAACCTTGAGCCATTGGGCAAGTAAATGTAATATCTGGTCATAAGTTATATAAATGTTTCAAAGCAGTATTATATTTAGGAAATTAATCATAGTTTAGGAGCTTCAGTCATTTGTGGTTTTGTCTGTTGTGTGACATTTTATAAGCCAGGAGTCATTGCCTAAGAAGACAAAGACAAAATAATCATCTTAAGCTTAGTAATGATAATGTGGTAAAGGGAATTTAGTAACCAAAATGAGGGTAGAGTAGAATATCATTTGTTTTTGCAGAGACAGGAAAAGATTTTTTTTTTTTTTCTAAAAGCACACTAACCACATTTTGAGTTAATACCTGTACTTTTTTTTGGTCACCATTGTCAAAGCAAGTTTATTTTCAATGGTAATTTTTCATAGTGTCCTTTCCAAATAAACTGTTACTTTGTTTTTACTTGGATACCAGTAAAGACATCTCCAGTTTAGAATTTGTCATGCTGTGTCCCAGTTCCGACCATGCAGCCAAGAGTGCGGCTACAGTCCTCACCCTCCATGGTCATCCCAGCCTCCCGGGAGCCCACGCCTCCTGAGCTTCAGGGCTCTGGCTGCAGTGAGGGGCCAGATATCCCAATCCTCCCCCATCCTGGGGCAGGACTTGACCTGCTTCTGACTCTTGTGAAGTTGCTGCCACTCTCTCCCTTGGGTGTTTTATTGTTCCCTAACAGACTCAGTTGCATTTCATTTTGATTATAGTTGAAGAGCAGCAGGGAAAAAAATAGCCTGGCACCAGGGCTCATGCCTATAATCCTAGCTATACTTGGGAGACTGAGATAGGGAGGATTGCAGTTCAAGGCCAACACAGGAAAAAAGTTTGTGAGACCCCATCTCAGTGTAAAAAAGCTGGGCATTGTGGTGCGTGCCTGTCATCCCAGCAGCAGTGAGAAGCTTAAAGTAGGAAGACTGATCTCCAGGATGGTCTGACCAAAAAATGAGACCATATCTCAAAAATAATCAGTGAAAAGGGCTGGAGGTGGACTCCCAAGTGCAAAGCCCTGAGTTCAAACCCCAATGCCATCCAAAAAATGGAGGGGGAGAGGAGTTTTACAGATTATGAAATCTTACAAATTTGTTTGCTGACGTGGATCTTGATATAACATTGTTTTTCAAGACGTGGATCTTGATATAACATTGTTTTTCAAACTTGGCAGATAATCAGAGTCATCTAGAAAGCTTGTTAAAATAAATTTCTGGTCCCCACGCTCAGTCTTATAGGTAATTGGATGGTGACCCTGAGGACTTACTCTTGAAACACATTCTCCTGTCTCTGGAGTACTGCGTGTTCTTTGTTCTCTATGTAGCTTTTTGTTGTTTTATTGTTGTTCTCTTTATTGATTTTTGAGTCTGTTTTAATCATCATTTCTTCTTTTGTTGTTGTTGTTGCTGTAGTATCCTGGCTGGTCCCCAACTCTGAATTCTCCTGCCTCAGCTTGCTGAGTGCTGGGATTACAGGTGTGTACTACCACACCCGGCCCATAATTTGTCTAATAATTTTTGGACTGTTCTGGGGATCAAACCCAGTACCTTACACATGCTAGGCATGTACTCTACTACTAAGCTGCACCCCAGCCTCTCTAATCATAATTTCTTTATAGGCGCTATAAGATATAAATCTTGTGGCATAATCATATTTACTATGCATGTAATGCATATTTGTTAACCTTGTATTTAATCAAGTAAATTTTAAATATTTCATCATTTATTATATAGTGCTTTGAAAAAACTTTATTTTTCTTTTCCAGGTATTTAATTCAAGGTTATTTAAAGTTAAAGAAAGACATATGTTTCTTACCTATTTAGGAAGAGCACAGTATGATCCAGCAAAACCCAACTACATTTCTTTGGACAAATTAGTATCTGTTCCTGATGAAGTATTTTGTAAAGAGATTGCCAGAGCTTCAGTAAAGGACTTTCAACAATTCTTAAAAACTCTTTAGTTTTTGATGAATGCTAAGATATAATATTATCAAGTGAATGTATATGTAAATAAATGTATTCAAAAATGTCCCAGGTTTCATTACTGTCAAAAATAATTTATTGGTATTATTTGGGTGTGTACACTCTGGTAGATCCTTCTTGCAAGTTTCTAGTGACTTAATTCTTGTTCGCCTCAACCATAGCCGCCTTCTTCAGGAAGGAGAAGCTTCAAGAAAGGAAGTGACTTCTCCAGGAAAACACCAAATGGTGGATGACATGGGTATAGCAAAAGGACTCGAAGGCCCAGGGACCCAGGCATGGGAGGCCATGGTGGCTTCTGCAGAGGGTTCTGCCCACCTTGATAGGGGCAGTGGTCTGGGTCTGGGTGTGGGCCAAGGCTGCCGGGGCTCATGGAGGCAAAGCCAAAGATAAGGACTGGATCACAGTCACCAAGCTGGACCGCCTGGTCAAGGAGTGGAAGATCAGTCTTTGGAGGAGATCCATCAAGGAGTCTGAAATTATTGAATTCTTCCTGGGGGCAGCCCTCAGGAAGGGGTTTCGAAGAGCATGCTCTTGCAGAAACATGGGCTGGCCAGCACCCCAGGTTCAAGGCATTTGTAGCCACTGGGAACTACAACAGTCATATCAGGCTGGGTGTCAGTGCTCCAAGGAGGTAGCCACTCCCATCCAATGGGGATCATCCTGGCCAAGCTTTCCATTGTCACTGTGCAGAGAGGCTACTGGGGGACAAGCTGCTGTGGTTCTATGCTGGCGCACCACCTCATCCCTGCCCCAAAGGGCACTGGCATCGTCTCAGCTCCTGTGCTCAAGAAGATGGTGTTGATGGCTGGTATTGATAACTGCTACACTTCATCCAGGGGCGGCACTGCCACCCGGGCAACTTCGCCAAAGCCACCTTTGATGCCATCTCCAAGACTTATTAGCTACCTGACCCCCAACTTCTGGAAAGAGACTATGTTCACCAAGTCTCCCTTTCACTGCCCATCTTGTGAAAACCAAAGAGGTCCAGCTGTGGCTACAATATAGGATTTTTTAATACAAGAAAAATAAAGTGAATTAGCCCTGGGGGAGGCAGGGAGGAGTTCACTATAAGCTGGGTGGTGATTTGTTATTCTTGTGAAGTTTTGAAAATAGTGGACCATTTTCCTGCTCTTGGAATTACAGGTCTTTGAAAGCAGTTTCATTATAAGACAAGATGACCTTATTTCCTTTCAGATAAACTCCTATGAGTTTCTGAAGCATGATACATCATTCATCTAAGACCTACTATCTGGTGTGCAAAACATACTCCATTTGGGACTATCTACCTGAGTACAGGTATTCAAAGTTGTCCACAGTTGGCCACCGGAAATCAGGAAAGGAAAAAGGATAGGGAGGAAAGTTGAAGATAAGTAGAGGCAATGAGGCCTAGTAATGGGCATAGTAAACCTTTGACTTACTACCAGCAAGAAGACATACCATGAATTGATACTCCCACTCCCCTACTTATGTAAGTTGTCCTGGGCAAATGATTGAGCTCTTCGTCTTTGCTTCTTTATTTGTAAAATCAGGTACCATGACTTAGTTATCTGCCTACCAATTTGGATAGACTGTTAACACTACAATGATCCATATTGAACCACATCTGGTATTTTCACTGTTTGAGACTACCCACAGTGACTCTGGACCAATCTAATTTGGGTCATGGGACATGATGAAGCAAAAGCTTGACAAGCATTTGCACATTGGGGATTGTCCTCTTGAAGACCTAATGTAAAGAGGTCAATTACTGGAGAAACTAAATGAAAAGGAAGATGCCTGTCCATCATACCCTTGGCATGAGTGAGGAAGATGGCTGAGTGAGTGACCCAGCCTTAGCAAAATTACCCAGCTAAATTAAGAATTGGCAGAATGCTCTAAGCCACTACCTTTGGGTGTAATTTGTTGTGTACCAGGGTTCTGTGGTGTGCTGGATGTCCCAAAAGAAACCTTGTAAGAAATTAAATTTTTAGCTCATTAGAGCCAGGTATGGTGTCCTTCTGTTAGATACTTTACTCGTTCACTCACAGGCATTTGAGGTCCTAGAATAAAACAGTGATTAATGTGACGTAGGTATGTGCTTTCATGGCATTCTCCAATGGATAAGATCAATACACAGGAAGCAATGGAGAAAGTACGAATGGGAGACAAAGTGTGAGACTATCCCGCCTGGACTTTCTATGCCTTAGAATTTCATTTTACCTTTACAAACAACCTACTCTTACCAGAATAGGCTAGCTGTGCTGCTGTAATGGACAGTCCTAAAACGTCAGTGATTTAAAATGAGAAAAGCTTCTTACACATTTCTCCTTTGGGATCACAAAGGCACTGTTCCACTTTAGTGATACAGGATGATGTATCCTGGTACCTCCACGATGAGTGGTGTGTTGCCACTTTTTGGAGAGAAAAGAGATGTGGAAGGTTACTCTTAAAAATTCCTTTCTGTTTAGGGTTTTGTTTTGTTTGCCCAAGTATCACATGCTATGCCTAACTTTTCAGGAAGCAAAGTAAGTATGATCCCTAACCTATGCCAGGAGGAAATAATAAAAAATAATTTTTGAATCAACACTTAACAACCACCAGCAACATTCCCAGGTTCTAGACTTAATGCCTATAGGAGCTGGATTTTGTGACACTCCTGGATATCTGATCCCTTGACATAAAGGTCTTTTTGCCCCCTTCACTCTGTAACCTTAAAGAGTAAGGAGAGTTTGCTCTTTGCAAAGCTATGTGCTAATGTGCTCCACATTTTTATGCCTTAGATGTCACATGTTGGGGCTGGGGTCTTGAAAGTAGATAAGTCTATTTATTTGTCCCTCTTTTGCCTTAAAATTATATGAAAATTGTGCAGTACTTCTTAAGATTTAATATTTTAAGAACTTTTCTGACCTAACCTTCCACCAAAATGGTTTGATGTAGATCTTTAGCTGAAGAAACTGAAGACCAGAGAGGTTTATTATCTTTCCTGGATTCATAGTGTAGCATATGGTCCTAGAATTAAGGAGGCCTAAATTTCTATTTGCATTTTCTGATTTTTCAAGAATTGGATTTTTCTTAACCATGTGCCTTTCTGGGGCTCAGCTACCTCCTCTCTACAATGGAGATATTCATAGTATATCATAGATTTAGGATTATATGAGAGTCTGTCAGCCCTGCATATTTAGGGGTGCCGTGGAATCAACTTTGCATGGATGGAAAATATTTGGGGAAAAAGTGCATCTGTACTGAACACGTACACTTTTTTCTTGTCATTATTTTCTAAATGCTTATTTGCATAGCATTTACATTGCATTAGGTAATCTAGAGATGGTTTAAAGCAGGAGATATCTGTTGGTTATATTTTAAAATACACCATTTTATATAAGCATCCAAGGATATCCTCAGGTTCTAGAATTGAGGGACTATGCCTGAAAAACGTTACCTGGCTCCACCTGCGCCATTAATACCGTCCACGCTCTCTTACTTAGTAAATAACAGAACCTGCACTAATCTCCGGGTCTTCTAATTCCTTGCCTAGTATTTTCTCCATCATGTCACAGGAATGCTTCTTGCAAATGGACGCGCAAATGCTCAGAAGACCTCCATTTACATTCTCGCGGATACACTAGCCCTGCTGTCAGATCTGCGCTTGCGCGGACCGCTTCTCCCTACTCGTGACGCATGACGCCTGCGCACTGAGCGCACCGCCCTCTAGGATTTACCCAGAAGGCAGCGCTTCGCCCTCGGGTCAAGATGGCGAGCAGGCCTGCGGTAAGTGAGTGGGGTCCTCCCGGAGGGCATCGCGGCGTTCACCTTGCTCCTTTCTGCTGTCTGTAAATGGCCGGGTTTGCGCGTAAGGGAAAGTGTCGCCGGTCTTGGTGGAAGGACGTCTTCGCCACTCGCAGGGCGGGCTGGCCTCGCCGTCGGGACCGGAGCCGGCGTTGTGAAGGTGCCCGCGGTGGCTGAGCTTTAAATCACCACCTGCCCGCTCTCGGCATCTTTCCCCGCCTTTGAAGAGCTTAAGGCCGCAAGGACATGGATAGTGCATGACCTTCAGGCGGGATGAACTGAGAGCTTCCTGTCCAACCCTGACCTGGGCTTTAGATCGATGTATTCGACCATTTGTCCTACACGCCGCTGATGGACAGTGACGGGAGGAAACCCGGCTGCAACCCCCGTTCCGCCTCGGGCAGGCAGCCGAGCAAGTGTACGGGGAAGTTTCTCCTTAACCTTGGCGTGTCTGCAACGTGAGCGTCATCTATAGACTAGGAGGGATTTGCAGTTGTTGTAGGCATTACGACAGGCGCATTTATTTCGGAATAGAATGCAGAAATTGGCGGCATATTTAAAACAATGTGCACTTCAATTCAAACAGTGTCCCCCTTCCCCTTTTTAAAAGTAATCTCTGAGCCGGGCGCCGGCGGACTACGCCTGTAAACTTAACTACTTGGGAGGCTGAGATCGGCAGGGTAGCTGTTGGAGGCCAGCTCCGGGCACATAGTTCTGAGACCCCAATCTCCAGAATAACAGAGCAAAGTGGACTAGAGGTGTGGATCAAGCGGTAGGGTGCCTGCTTTGTAAGTGCAAAGGTCCCAGCAAAAAAAAAGAAAAAAAAATCTCTGCCCTTTGGCGGTATAAATTGGAATCGCTTTTTAAAAATAGGTGCCCTTCTCCATCCCCAGACATTGTGAAACTATTAGGAAACAGATTGCCAGATGAATCTGTTAACCTAAGTGACATTGAGCTTTTAGGGGTATAAATTCTTTATTTCAAGCTGGGCATGGTAGTGCACAACTGTAATCCCAGAACTCTGGAGGCTGAAGCAAGAGGATTACGAGTTGGAGGCAAGTCTGGGCTACATAGCAAGACCCTGTATCAAAAAATAAAGCAACAAAAAGAACTCATTATTTCTTTAGTTGGACAAATATTTAATGATCCTTACTAAGTTCAAGGCATCTTGCTTCTGTGCTGTGTTGGGGAACCCTAGAGACCTGAAACTACCTCTGACCTTGGGTGGGATCACTTCTGCAAGGCTGCGTCCTTTTCTACAGCAACAGGCATGTTTCCAGTAAACTCAACCAATGTGGGTAAAGCAGACAGGATAGTCCCTGTCACACTAGTTAGTGTCCCGTGAATGTTCATCTGTATCATCCTCACTGGTAAATATATACAAATAATTTATTTTCAAGTATGTTTTTAAATTGTTGACTGACACTTTTCCCCCAGAAACAGTTTTATACAAGGCTGTTAATTTCTAAGGAGATCTTGCAAAGCCATGTCATCTGTAATGTACTAAGCAGTAGGGGTCAAAAGGGTTGGAGTGAAAGCAGAATTTGCTTTTCTTCCTTGGTAATGGGCTTGTGGTAGACAACATTTTAAAAGAAAATTCAAATTTGCTCTACCTTCATATTTGTGCCACATCTCTCCTGTAATCATCTAGCATTGTCATGTCATCCTTAAGCCCTTACTGGGTTACCCCGTCAGGCTCAGCCCCGTTCCCCCAAAGAGTTAGTTGTGGCTTTTGTTTTTGTTTTTGTTTTTTTAACATAAGGTCTTGGTGCATGCTAGGTACAAACTATCACTGAGCTATAATATACCCTAAACTTATTTTAATTTTTTCTTATTAAAGTAGGGTGTTAAATTTGCATCCTCCTTACTCAGCATCCTGAGTGCTAGGATTATAGTCGTGCCCTTCCTCACTCGGCCCCTAACATTACCTGTGTCTCCCTACCCGTGATCAAATACTCATTTCCTTGATGGAAAGTTGGCTGCTTGGAAAGATAAAAATGGGCTTCTTTTACTAATCCATATAAATGTTTAAATGACTAGTGGTACAAAAATTCTTCTAGAAATAAATATATTTTAAGGAGAATGACCAAGTGAAATAATGGTAATGTATACTAAAAATTTTCAGGAATGGGGGTCTGTAGCCCTGCCAGCCTATCCTGAAATCTCACCCCTCTTTTAATAAAGCTCCACTTACCTTGAAAAAAAGAGTTGGAAGTTATTCTTGCTTTTTATTTCTGCAACTACAAGTGACAGAAATGTTCCAAGTCCATTTCCCAACTCCTACCCACTCAGTTCTGGTGGTAACAGGGGATATAAGGGCATGGGATGTTGGACTTGGAGAGGCTGAAGTGGCAGCAGTTGTACAACTGTCGCCATGCTCATAGATAAAACAAGCAACTCTCATCTATAGGAATTAATAGGAAATCCCTTCTTAGGTCTGTAAGAAGGTGATGGCCTGTTAATGCACTCATGCAATACATGTGAATTGTAGGAACTAACTGTATATCATTCCCAGTTTCAGCATCAGGCCGGTGGCTGGAAGGTATTCGAAAATGGTATTACAATGCTGCAGGATTCAATAAACTGGGTGCGTATCTGTGCTGCCTTCCACTTTCTTTTTTTCTTCTTTCCTGAGAGTATGCTTTTATAGGAGTCATTGTGGTTCCAAAGAATACTTTGTTTCTGTGTACATGGGATTTTAAAATTAGACCACATTTTATTATGTTTTTATTCTTTTGAGAGGAGGAGGGAGTGAAGTCCTCAAAAATGGTTTGAGGTAGAAATGATTTATACTAGCAGGACATTTTCTTTATGATATTCTCCCTTTCCCAAATCCTTCCCTTAAAATGCTTTGGGTTTTGGACTGGGGACATGGCTCAAGTGTGCTAACAAGTGCAAGGCCCTGAATTCAAACCCCAGTGCTGCCAAAAAAAAAAAAAAAAGCTTTGGGTTTCCATTGTACCTAGTAATTTGAACTCTTAGTATTTCATCCAAGTCTTAAATACAAGTTTAAAGATACTTTACTCATTAAGAAAAACAGTGTGATTTTTAAGATGTTAAGAATGTTCACTCTGACTCTTTTCTATCGTAGGGTTAATGAGAGATGATACGATAAATGAGGATGAGGATGTGAAAGAAGCCGTGAGAAGGCTTCCTGAGAACCTTTATAATGACAGGATGTTTCGCATCAAGAGGGCACTGGACCTGACCATGAGGCATCAGATCTTGCCTAAAGAGCAGTGGACAAAATATGAGGAGGTAGAGCAGTTTTTATGCATCTGACAGTGTTGCCCACTAAGAATGGAGTAGTAGACACAAGAGAGACACACTCATTTCCATAATGCTTTCTTGCTTCCAAATATATGTTAACTAAGTATCATTTTAACAGCCCAGTGAAATTAATAGAGCAAGTATCTGCTCTATTTTAGAGAAAAACACATTGAGATTTAGAGGTAAAGTGACTTCCAAAATCACAAAGCAAATCTCTAACATAGAGGGCCAGAGTCCAGGTCTTCTGCCTCCTAGACCATTGTTATTGTTTCTTTGCAGTCTACTTCCTGCTCACGTGAAAAGAGTTTTAGTATGTGCAGCCCACTGAGTGGTGCTCTAGCTTCCAAGAAGGACTTCTGTGAAGCAAACCCTCACCCCCCACCCCGAACTGCATTAAAACCAGGCAAAAGTATAGGCCCTCATTTCTTTTTTCCCCAACAGACTTCCTTTTCATAACCTATCAAAGCAACTTACTACAATATCTTTGTGGGTTTTGACATTTTAAAAAGCATATAGCTCTTAGTTTGGTTGAGAATATATTTTCTTAAGTTGTAAATAAAAAGTCATTCATTGTGATAGGTTTCATTTGTTGTTTAAGACCTATTAAAAGTTTGGGATGATAATAGGATATTATATTCTTTTATTCATTCTTTAGGATAAATTCTACCTTGAACCATATTTGAAAGAAGTTATTCGGGAAAGAAAAGAGAGAGAAGAATGGGCAAAGAAGTAATCACGTAGTTGAAATCTGTGGATGCAGCCGAACTTTTTATGAAGTTGGCTAAACTTGAAATGTACAACTTAAGAATTATTTGGTCTGCAGACATATTACTTTAAATAAATGACTGTTATAATCATTGTTGGAGTTTGAATTCTAAACTTTATCCTGATAACTATTGAATTCATTATCCTAATTTTTTCCAAACTTCTAAGATATTTTAGTCAGTGTTTAAGTGCTTGGAGATGAGATACCATTTTAATCTTTTCCTCATTGGTTGGAGTTTACTAAAGGAGTTAATACATCAAGCAAAGAGTCACCTTTAGATTGCTATTGTGGGTTAACAATATATTTAGCAGCTGCATCAGGGCCTAACATGCCGGTGTGGGATGGAGCAAGAAGCCAGAGCCAATGATTTACTTTACTGAAGCAAACAGAGCACCTAAGCAGACTGGCTGTCAGCTTCAAAAGCGATACTGAGGAAGAAGGGAGAAGTCCTGGTTTGCCAGGACTAGAAAACAGCTCTTCAACCACTGCTCTCCCAGTATATTGACTTTACATTTAGAAAGAAATTAGGCTTCTGCTCCCAATAAGGGTATATGTAAATTGTGTGTGTGTGTGTGTGTGCACGCTTCTGGGTTAATATGCAAGTCAGAAAACCAAAAGACATTAGAAAAATAGACAAAAATATAAAAACAAATGATGCTTAAATGGTTGTTACGAAGTATACTACACTGCAGGAGAGCACCTGCCTAGCAAGTGTGAGACCCTAAGTTCAAACCCCAGTACCACCAAAAAAAAGTTACAGAAAGTTAAGGTTATAGGCTAATTTTAAACATCAGTTTGAATTCTTCAGTAATGTCACCATTCCCACCCCTAAATTCTGAATCTTCAGTGGAGATGAGAGCTGGAGCCATCATGAGGGTAGGATGTTGGAACCTGCAGGGCACAGCGTTCACAGCCACAGCACGAGTGTTGGTTGAGATCTAACCTCGAAGGATAAGATGAATGAGAAACAAGTTTTATCTTATGTTTAAAATTTGTACAGCAATCAAAATGTGCAGATAACAGTTTCCACAAAAAGATGTATAAAGGACATTTGTGCTTGACCTTTACAAAGTGATCATGAAGAGTGTCTTAAAAGTTTTGCTAGGGCCTAGGGGTGTGACTTGGGGTAGAGGCCCTGCCTATCGGGTTCAAACCCCCCCCCCAAAAAAAAGTTTTGCTAAAATATTAGAAAGTTTCATTAAATTCTCTAAGAAGTGTTCCTCCAATATTTGGGTATATTTCAAACATCTATCCTGAGAATCAAGGGGTTGGCTATGTAGCTCAGTGGTAGAATGCTTGCCAAACATATGCAAAGACTCTTTGTTTCATCTTCAGCACTATAAAAAATGAAAATCATTCTTTGTTGATTGTCCAAGTGAGTTAGATTCTCATTTGATAATGCTTTGCTTATGGGAGAAGCAGTTTTTGGTTTTGTTTTTTGTGGTGCTGGAATTTGAACTCGGCCTCACACTTGCTAAGCAAGAGCTCTACCTCCGGAGCCATGCATCCAACCCTTTTTTGCTTTGGTTACTTTTCTTTTTTTTTTTTTTTCATTTTTCTTTTATTATTCATATGTGCATACAAGGCTTGGTTTATTTCTCCCCCCTGACCCCACCCCCTCCCTTACCACCCACTCCACCCCCTCCCGCTCCCCCCCTCAATACCCAGCAGAAACTATTTTGCCCTTATCTCTAATTTTGTTGTAGAGAGAGTATAAGCAATAATAGGAAGGAACAAGGGGTTTTGCTGGTTGAGATAAGGATAGCTATACAGGGCATTGACTCACATTGATTTCCTGTGCGTGGGTGTTACCTTCTAGGTTAATTCTTTTTAATCTAACCTTTTCTCTAGTTCCTGGTCCCCTTTTCCTATTGGCCTCAGTTGCTTTAAGGTATCTGCTTTAGTTTCTCTGCATTAAGGGCAACAAATGCTAGCTAGTTTTTTAGGTGTCTTACTTATCCTCACCCCTTCCTTGTGTGCTCTCGCTTTTATCATGTGCTCATAGACCAATCCCCTTGTTGTGTTTGCCCTTGATCTAATGTCCACATATGAGGGAGAACATACGATTTTTGGTCTTTTGAGCCAGGCTAACCTCACTCAGAATGATGTTCTCCAATTCCATCCATTTACCAGCGAATGATAACATTTCGTTCTTCTTCATGGCTGCATAAAATTCCATTGTGTATAGATACCACATTTTCTTAATCCATTCGTCAGTGCTGGGGCATCTTGGCTGTTTCCATAACTTGGCTATTGTGAATAGTGCTGCAATAAACATGGATGTGCAGGTGGGAATGTAGACTAGTACAACCACTCTGGAAAAAAATTTGGAGGCTACTTAAAAAGCTGGACATTGATCTACCATTTGATCCAGCAATACCACTCTTGGGGATATACCCAAAAGACTGTTACTCCAGAGGCACCTGCACATCCATGTTTGGTTACTTTTCTTATAGGTTCTCCTGCTCTTGCTGGGCCTACCTCAGACTGGTCTTTCTAACTCTGCCTCCTAAGCAGCTGGGATTACAGGTGTGTGCCCTGCTCAAAAGCAGTTTGTTAACATCCTTAATATTTAAGTGCTGTTGACATTTAAAGCAAGACTAAGGAAAATGCTAAAAGACAGATCATCCTTCAGAGCTTACTGAGATTGAGGTCTAACAGGAAAAGAAGCTTCCAGCTATCCACCTGCCCAAGTAGAAAGTGTGGCATGACAGCTGGGCAGTCTGGTTTTGCAAGAGTTTCTCCGAAAGCCAAACTGCCTGTTCTACATTATTTGATTACTTTGTTCTTCTAAATGAGAACAAATATACACAAGTTCCTTGAAAAGCATAAAATGCTCTATCATTGTTTTTACTGTTAATTATAAAGTATTATTCTGCTTGTCAGGAAGAATAAGAAAAGTATAAGTAGTATTTGACTCATTAAGAGACTAAGTTAATGAGAACTTGTTAACCCACAGGTGAAATTCTTTCATTTGAAAGAGAGCCTCTGTTATCAAAAGCTGTTCTATGTGAAAAGTCACTATGGAAATGTCAGAAACAGGCGTGTCATCCTGAAGACAGGAGAGTAATTCAGGGCTGATTTTGGATCAGTCTACACAGGCCTCAATCCATTCACTCAATGCTCAGTTTCCTCAACTCTAAAATATGGTTAATGGTAACTTATAAGGTTGTGTCAGAAGTAACTCACTACATCATATGTCAAGCACAACATTTCCTGGCACACAATAAATGCTATGTGAGGGTTAGAGCACAATTTGGGAAAATGCTGAGTACCATCAAGTCTAAAGCTGACCATAGCCAAGGTTCAGGGTGTTCTCCCTTCTAGTTTCTATGTGGCACTCTCAATTCTTCCCCTTGGATGTCTAACCTGGAATGATGTACCCATCACTAGAAATGGAAAGAGGAGGAACTGGATTCAGGTGACAGCTTTGATTAGAATGGAGTTCAGCTGATTTTGGTTTCCTTGTTTCGTCTTGAATTGACAGAGTTCTTACTTCCAACATGTCACATCCTGCTAACTTGTGGAGTTTATAATGTTCAATATCTTGTATTGTTCAGAATTTGAGATTGGTCTAGGCTTTGGGTATATGGTTTCCCTAGACCTTGAAGGAAGATAGGTTTGCATACTCATCAGTGGTCTGTGTTCTATTTTTCTGTTTTACTGTGTTTTGCAATTCCACTCAAAAACCAGACAGCAGGCTTATGTTCACTGTCATAGTGCACTTCTGGGTGTCACTCAACTTCATGTTGCCAAGGTGTAGGAAGCAGAGTAAGGCACGTTGGGGACTCAGACCCCCAAATGATGATGTTGGTCCTAACCCCATATTGCATGGAAATATTTGATAACATTCCTAAATGTAGCCTAAGTATTTACGTGATTCTCTATGTATGGCACCAAAATGTGAACTAAGGAGCCTTCACCAACAACATCTTTGCCTGTTTTTAAATTCTAGACTCAATAAAATCCAAGGTGGTAAAAATATCATGTAGCTGTTTAAGGACTCCCTTTTAAAGCATTAGCTCTGCATTAATTCCAACTTGCCAAAAGATTTAAAAATAGAATAAAAATTAGGTCAAAGCTCAAAATCTTTATAGCCATCATAATCCTTCCAAAGTCACAAACAGGATGATGTTTTAAAAATATAGACATCTTTGTGTGGCTTTGAAAATTACCAAAAGTACTCAGGATTAAAAGGTTAGGTGAACATAAAAACTGTCTTAAGCAAATCCTTGACATCCTGGTGGACGGAGAGCAGATGGGATTAGATTGTAAGGGTGGCATGTGTTTTAGGAACTCCAGCACCAGAGAGGAATACAGGTATAAGGTGAATGAGATAGCTCTTTAGGAAACAAGTCTCTCTATTGCAACAACGATGGAAATTTTGCCAGTAGGTGGCGATGCACTACAACTTTACAACTTGAAGGCACACCATACCATGGAAGATTTATCCATTTTGTACCTCCACCAACTCCCTCTCCGTCATTTTTCAGGATGACAACACCTTGGAGGTTTACGGCCATCAAGAGAATTTACTACTAAGCTATACACTGATGTAATGAAATCTAATATATATTGTGCAATGAATTATGAGATGTTATTTGGTTTGGGGGTTTTATTACTTCAATCAGTTATGACCATATTTCCTTTTATATGATTGCTCACTCTTTAAACATACCAGATGACTGTATAAGGAACACCTAATAAAGTCTAGATAGGTTAAAATCTAAATGTTTTCATTTATTTGCCGTAATTTGTTTAAATTCTGGTTATATGGTTGTTCATATTAAAAGCCATATCTTTAGCATCTGACATCTCTGATCTGATAATATCTCTAAGTGATATTCTGCTAAGAAATTTAATTGTATGCATTCACAATTGAGCAGGAAGAAGAACTGAATCTTAAAAGGTAGTTAATTTTTAGCATAGATGCCAAAAAGCCTAATACTATTGAGTGGTTTATGACAAACTATTTAAATGATTATTCTAGATTCTGACTATATCGCCTACAGTAGAAAGAATGTATTATTTGTTTAACTTTGAATTTTAATACACTTGCCTATTTTTCATAAATGCCAGAAATGTAATTTTAAAATAAACCCATGTGAAACTTTTGGTAACAT